TTCCTTATACCACAGATGTAAGATATAGCTAAAGCCCTTCTACAGGCTAGCAAACTTTAAGTTCAAGACTCGGCAAAACCGCCGAGTTTGTTAAAAGTTTGGAGAAGTTTGTGGTGCCTGTTCTACACTAATGGTACTGACATACAGCTAAAACACTGAACTGGTACTGAGCTGTGAATTCCAATGTTCACTGTCCAATGTTGTCTATCTGCAGATCACATGACTACAAAAAACTATCATTTGATGCTTGAGTATTCCAAACCCTCAGCAAACTCGAGCAACTAGTTTTGTCAAGGTGCAGCAACGCCTAACTTTAACTTCTGCACAACGTTCTGCAAAACTAGTTTGCCGAAGTTTGTCAACTGGTCTACACATGGCAAACTTTGGAAAACATTCTTTTTTGCTTTTCTTGCCAAAACGTTCGGAGTTTTGAATCGAGTTTGCGAAACTAAAAAGTTTGCACTAGTGTAGAGAAAAGGGGCAAAAAACAGGGCTTAACGAAACTCAGCATTCACATTAACAACTATAGAGCACATTGACCTCTGGTTTCACATTGCAGTTCTACGTTTGGCGTTTGCTGGTGCTGGTTTCAGTTTCAGTTACAATTCGCGGAACTCAATGATAAAATCAAGAGCATAATAAAGAAGGTGTGGGAGTCGCTGGCGTTGCCATAGAAATACTGTGGAGATATGAAAAGATGCTTGTTTTGAGATGGATTAAATCTTGGCGAAGCCAATAGAGCTTATAATGATATAATTATAATTAATCAATAATTAATTAATAATAATAATAATGGTATAAATATCATTATAAGCTCTTTGCGAGAGCTCCGTTTCGATGAAAACCAGTCAACGTTGTCGTCTACCTGTCATGGGTCGATGTACATAACTGCAGGGAAGGGCAGGTAGTTTAGTTAAATACAAGCTTGTTTCAAAATATGACATCTGTGACAGACGATTCAAGTGAGAGTATAAAATGGTGAGAATAAAAGTGGCGAACGATTCATTCACGGGCCCTTTCCTTTCACCCTTTCAAGGTCAGGAATTAATGCGCATAACCAGATGATAACATATCAAAGCCAGGCACGATGACCCACGTTTTCCCGACGGATAAAAACGATGAAAAAAACGGATTGAAAACTACAGCACTCCTGTGATCAGGGGGCGGCCCACAGGGGGGGGGCAGGGGGCGGTCGCCCCTATTCATTTGCCAATGAAAAAAGAAAGACAGAAGATAGAAAAAGAAAAAGAAAAGAAAAAAGAAAAGGAAAAGAAGAATGAATAAAAATATAAAAGGAAAAAGAAAAGAAACATTTGCCAAATGTCTTGCAAATGATGGTGGGGGTGGGTCAACACTCCCTTCCACGCATCATTGCAAGAAAAGGTAAAGAAGAAGAAAAGATCTTGCAAATAACTAGGGGGGGATCCCCCAAAAATGAGTGATGTAAGCCCCTACAAGCTGACCGCTTCCATCGAAACAAATCGGAAAAAAATTTAAAAGTGTCGAAATTCAAATCCAATATAAAACGGTTGCTCTAATTTGATAATCGATGTCGATTGATTTCCTTGGGAGTCAAAATTGACCATCAATTGTCGATTTGATCTGTTTCCGCGAAAAGGTAGGCCCACTGAGGTGTTAACACTTATACATTATAAGATTACAACACGTCTCAGACACCTGACCTCTAATAATACTCTTACATCTATCTTTATTTTACCTCGCCCACGAATGGAAGGGGAGGTATATAATCGGTCATGTGCGTTCGGTGTACACGTTAGCGTGTGTGTGTGTGTCACCGTGTGTGTGTGTTCGTGTGTGTGTGGTGTGTGTAGTGTGGTGATGTGTGTGTGTGACGCGATCGATATTAGCGCGTCAACCTGGAGCCCGAGCAGCCACAGCCCGGCCTGGCTGCTGACTGCGCGGCCGAGCAAAAGCATACATGGTACGCCCTGGCGTATTATCGTAAGGGTTAGATTCCCATGGCTGACTCCGTCAACAACTA